ATATTAAAATGATGTAGCCAGAAGATATTTTAATTCTTTGTCATTGGTTATTTCAAAACGTCTTGTTCCACTCTGTAGCTTACTTTTCTCTTTTGCTTAAATGTTTGTGCTCAGAATTAAAAAATGTAAAATCTCAAGCCTTGATGTGTTCTGTCAGTTTCATTAATCCATTGATTCTTGAATAATTAGTCTGAAATTACAGTATTGAGGTTTTGTTAAAGTTTTACTGTAATTTTTATTGAAAGAATTCTTCCACTGTGTAGTGAAAATGATTTTTCTACATTAGAGTTTGTATGTTCAATAGAAGTTCTTAGGTATTTTTAAATGATTTTTAGACCTTAAGTCCTTAATTTCTGCCAAATTTTGTAAAATGTTCTTAAATTTACTCATTCCGTCATTTTCTTTTTCTTTTTTTTTTTTTTAAACGACTGCCATTCTGAATTAATAATCAGCATTTTGGAGGAATTTTATTGATGATTTATTGACAAATGCATCTTTCATGGGTTATCTATTGAATTAGTTCATACTACTTGTATAGGGTGATATTTGAGTTTTGGGTACAAGACCTTACCTCTATCGAAATACGTCACTAAATTATTATGATATTTTTTAATGAAGAGTTTGTAACATACTACATCAAAAACGAAATTTGGATTCACAGATTTGCAAATTGTTTGAGGATTTTTTTATTTTTACGAATGCAGTAACATTTTACGAACATATTAAATATAAATAAAAAATAATGTATTAAAGGAATAGTATTAAGAATAAAACATTTTCATTTTCTGATCTTTTAAAGTGTGGTTACTTTCAGATTCTGATGAATTGGGACTATTTTAATTCTGGAAAATAAACAAGATAATAAATGCATGTATATTTTGCTAGTACAGAGATGGTAGGGATGTAAGATTTTAGACCTTATACCTTGGAAAGCTTTGGGTAATTACCACCAGGATTTGGGGCTCTTAACCAGGGATAGTTACTAGCAGGGAATAAGATCAACCTTTTATTTACCTGTTAAGTATTTAGTTTATAAATTTAAAAAGGCAACATTTACTTTTTTTAAATTTATGAAGCACACTGAAATAATCTGAATTTAAATAAATGCATGTATATTTTTGAGGTTGTAAAAGGGTGGAATGCTCTAGAGCATTTAATAGTACGAGTATTGAGAACAAATATGAAATGATATATGGTCCCAGCCAGCAGCAGATCCAATTTTCTACAATTTTTAGAATTTAGTGACCACTGACTTTTGAAGAATTTGAAGGTTAGGTTTATAGACATATGATTCCTTAAAACATATGTCTATAAACAGAATTAAAAATGTATTAAAAATGTCTTATGATTCCTTAAAATATAACAGAATTAAAAATGTATTAAAAATGTCTTTAAATATAACAAAAAGAAATCAACACATGGGATTTTTAGGAAGTTTGTGGTGAATTTATTTTATGGAGAATTTTTGAAAGAAAAGTGAAAATGGAATTACTTGAATTTTCTACTTTTTATCTTAGAAATCGTTCTTTTAACATGTTTCCCTTTCTTGTCTCCTTCCCGCCCCCTTAGAGACAGGCATGGAAAGTTGCAAAAATGGTTCTTATCTTGTCACATAGATTGACATGTATCTGTAGAAAGGAAATTTCTTTTAGTAAAGAATTTGAAAACTGACAAATTAAGATTCATCTTGTGGCTAAGTGCGCCGTACACAGGATGAGTTAGGCGTTTGCCACCTGGTGCAGTCTGTGTGTGTTATGTATCATAAATTCTGCTGACTGTTTATTCCCTAAATTCTAAAATTTTGGCTTTTATTGCCATCACAAAATTTTATTGCTTATTCCTTCACTAAATTCTAAAAATTCTAGAAAATTGGATCTGCTGGCTGCCAGGACCATATATCATTTCATATTTGTTCTCAATATTCATATTATTAAAGAAACTAAATTAGCAGTTTCTTATGTGCATTCTAAATGCATGAAGTTTTAGAATAGAAATCTGAAATGAAGGGGAAACTTGTTGAGAAGAAATTGATTACTTGAAGAAAATTGTAACGCATTGATTGCATAAAAGAATATTGTTGAAACATTTAATATACTAGAAGCAGAAGAGGCAAGGGGGGATACTGATTTGCTTATTGAAGCAAATAAACTTTAAAAAGATGCTAAAAGATGCTCTAAAGAGAAATTGATACGTATTAACTAAAGTTTCTGGAAAATTTTCAAATTAAGAAGAGACAATTTTGGTGTGTATTGTTGTTACAAAAGATGTTTTATAGCTTTTAAGGTATAACTATCCTATTATTTAGTATCTGCATCAGGAATTAAATTTGTAATTATCTGTTATTTTGAAGTGTAAAATATTCTTAGATTGCGATTTTAATAGCGTTTATTTTAACAAATATTTCATAACAATATTTTACAGTTACCATATAAAATAAATTACCATATAAATGTAAGAGTATCTTAACGAGTTATCTGTTATTTTAAAGTGTAAAATATTCTTAGACTGTGATTTTAATAGTGCTTTTTTAACAAATATTTCTTAACAATATTTTACAGTTACCATATAAATGTTAAGAGTATCTAACTATGTAATTTAATTATTTATAACTTTACCCCTTGGAGTTCTCTGTCCACATTAAAAAAGCTATTGCCTTTCACTAATCTTTTATTGTAAATGCAAGATATGACATAAAAATGTAAAACTCAGCATAAAACATTATTCCTTGCAGCTAGTACGACCTAAAGCAGTACAAAACCACTGAAATGGTGCTGGTTCTTTGCTGGCTTATTGTAACTAAACTTAAATTTTTATATTTAATTCTCATCGTTTATAAATCTGGAAAATACATTGCTTTCATTAGAATGTGAAGAACTGAGATTTTTATTTGAGAATGTTTTCGATATGAATAACTAGAATTTTTAATTCCATTTAAAAGTTATTACTGATTTTACAAAATTTAATCATGAGAAACTCTTGTTAACGAAAGAAACTTCACATGTAATGATCGGAATTTTTATTTGTACGCAATAACTAAACAGAAAGACGATTTAAGACGTTGAAGGCAGGATTACGATCCTAAAAAATTAAGATAAATCCTGACTGATTTTTTAAATTAGGAAGATATTTTACCTGGAATCATGTAGCAACATAAAATCATTAATTGAAGACAAATATAATTAATCAAAGATGTTCATTAGTCAAGGCTCGTATTAACTATACTTACCACGATATTATAATAATATTGTGGTGCGTATAATTATCTTGACTAATAAAAATCTTTGGTAATAATAAATAATGTGTCTTATTTTTGACATATGTTGCCGATTAATAAGAGTAATAATAATAAGATATACTGGTGTTTAAAAATTAACACTAAGCTTGCAATGATTTAAATAAGTTTTAACAATTATGAGACATTAATTGCACAGAGAGAATTATACATTATTTTGCATTCTAAAAAGCAAATAGCATACCTCTGATATAGGTCTGATTTTAGATCTAAATAGCAAATCTCTGATCGCTATAGGTAAATTTTATAACACGATTTAATACTATTATATGAAATGTAACAGTTCCTAAACTGGTATATTGAACATAACAAATGAAAAATAAATATCAGTGCATTTATAACTGTCGAATAAAACCATACGATCCATCCTTCCTGTACGATCCATAGTTTACGAGAAAAATACGAAAAACAAAGTAAGACGTCACTGCCGGTGCAAGAAAAAACACTTTATTGAACATATCAACAGCAGTATATGCAGATGTTAAAGTGTTCGCCGAGCATGTCGAGGCATGCTAAAAAGTACAGTACAAAAGAAAGTTAAATGTCACCATTCTTCTTTAAAGGTATGTGAGACAGAAGTGTAAAATATTAATGTTGTAAGGAATTTTGTAGTTTAATGCTAATTACTTGATAAATTTTATAAAGCTGGTTTAGTCTTGAATTTGTTTTATAATTATGTTAAATATTAGATCATGTATAATAAAAATCCATCCTACTTACTGGTTTCTTGTATTCTTGAAATAATATTACAAAAGTGGAGTTTAGGCGTAGTTGCTTTAATTTATTCAATTCTGATTTTCTTTTAATAACCTGTTTTTTAATTGATGGTCCTTAAAAGTACTTAATTTTCATGTGCAGAAATATGTTCAAATTGTGTAAATTAATCCTTTAAAAAATCGTGAAACGTTTATCTGATCTTAAAACTGGTTACTTCTCTCCGAGTCTAGAACTTTTATAATCTTTTAAAGTTTGTGTTTAAAAAAATAGTAAACGTAAATACCCCTGTAGTTTTAATTGGGAATAGTTTCCTAACTTGCTAACCTAATAGAGATGGAAATTAAGATTTGTATCCTAGTTTTATGTAAAAGTTTAAGCAAGGTTTAATTTCTGATACTAAAAGTATCATGTTCCAAATTGAGGCTATTAAGAAAAGTAAAAGGGTCTGACCAGTGTCTTTTTTTTTTTTTTTTTTTTATGAAGAGAGAAAAATGTAAAATATAAATTTTAAAAGGGTGTTAAAGTAAAATGCTGTGAACATAAATTATTATGGGATTAGTTTTCAGTATATTCAGTATTTCTCTTGGTAAGCATCCTTTGCTTTTTCATTTGCTTTTGTTTCTTTTTTTCAATATTTTTGTTCATTGTATTAATTTAGACTTTTAGGCTTTCTCAGAATTGAAATATTTTGTTCAGTTATCCACCCAAAGTAGGAATTTATGTAAAAGATTTTTGGAAAGCCAGAATTACCTTTCCTAAAATATGGTAACCATAAACATAGCATAACTTCAGCCTTTTCTCCCCAAAAAATGACACATGCTTTCTTCTGCTAGCGTTAACATCAGTGTCTTCAAATGCTGAAAAATTGAATTTAAGGGCTGTTTGTAAGATGCAAAAAATGTTAAACATCTAATTACAGAAAGTTGAATATAAATGAATAAAACTCTCCTTATAACTTAAGGTAAACACTTTTAATGTAAATTTTTTGCAGTGAAATGGAAGTTTTCCCTTATTTTCATCCGGTCCCATTCTCCAAAATGTTGACCTTCTACAGAACTGAGCCTTTTACTCTTGAAGCCTTCTACTCTGGCGTACCAGCAAGAGCAAAAATAAGTAAGACCTTTAACATTTTTTAAGACAGAGAAATTCCATGTCTGATTATTTCTTTCTATTACTTTTCCCTAATATTTTACAGAGACAGGGATATTGACATTGCAGCAGAACTGCAGGGCTTTATGCTGATTATAACTTACTGTGTGTATTCTTTTACTATATAGTTTAGCTAATACTGTGGGCAGCAAAATAAGCAAGCATAAAATGTATTCTTATGTGTCATTATAGAGCTTTCTGTAATTTTCTGTTTTTATACGTTTGTGTTTATTTTGATTTAGGTGTCAAATTGTCATTTGGCAGTGAATGTTGAACTTTTTCTTAAAGAGATAATTGTATATGCATAAACACAGGATCAACCAAAAGTTTGAGACACACAGTTTTTAAAAAAGTAGTGAAAGAAGGTGTGCTGAGTTTTTGATGTTGAAAAACTCGGCATTTATTTTTACATAAAAGAAAATAATTTTTGTGTCAAATTACATGTAAAATACATAAAAATGGAAAAAAAAATGTGTATATTGACAATGTTCACTAGCAACTGAGTCATTATGTTAACTGAACACTTGTAGTTCAACTGAACTTCAGATCCGAGCGAAGGATCTGGCTGCATGGGGCTTTTCATGTGTGATGTGAATGCAAGTCAATTTTCCTCAATAAGCCATGTACAAAGGTACTGCTCTCCATAGGCAGAGTTTTTTAGTCTCTAAAGTGTGTTTTTGCTGCAATCTGATAAAATATTTCATTGCAGAATCGTTGTGCATAAAATCGGACTTTGTAATAAATGACTAATATTTCATTGAAGGTCCCTTGTTTTTAATCATCTTTGTATTTTTTTATATTATAAGGTATTTCTCCTGCCTTCCTAGTGTGCCTTCGTGGTATAGCAGTTCTGCACACTGGCCCGGTATTCCAGAGGTCCGTGGTTCGATTCTGGCAAAGGCGATTGCTCATTTTTCGTCTTATCTGCTTCCAAAAAATACCTAATGTCTGTATAGTGGCGCGAAACTAAAAGTGTGTTGGATGATGATTCTCCTCACCCAGGATTTGGCGATTGGGTCCCTAAACTCCAGTCGCCGTATAAAAGGGGGGTATATAAGGTATTTCTCCTGCCTTCCTAGCGTGCCTTCGTGGTGTAGTTGCTGCAATCTAGCGTGCCTTCGTGGTGTAGTTGCTGCAATCTGATAAAATATTTCATTACAGAATCATTGTGCATAAATGGGACTTTGTAATAAATGACTTTAATATTTCATTGAAGGCCCCTTATTTTTTATCATCTCTTTGTATTTTTTCTGTATGTTCTGTATGTTCGATTCCTGGCAAAGGCGATTGTTCATTTTTTCGTCTTGCCTACTTGCAAAAAATATCTAATGTCTGTACAGTGGCCCCTAAACTAAAAGTGTGTTGGATGATGATTCTCCTCACCCAGAATTTGGCAATTGGGTCCCCTAGAACTCCAGTCGCCCTATATAAGGTATTTCTCCCGCCTTCCTAGCACGCCTTCGTGGTGTAGTGGCTGCAATGGCGCCTAAACTAAAAGTGTGTTGGATGATGATTCTTCTCACCCAGGATTTGGTGATTGGATCCCCTAAAACTCCAGTCGCCCTATAAGAGGGAGGGAGTATATAAGGTATTTCTTCTGCCTTCCTAGCGTGCCTTCGTGGTGTAGTGGTTCTGCACTCTGGGCGGGTATTCCAGAGGTCCGTGGTTCGATTCCTGAGGAAGGCGTTTGCTTATTTTTCATCTCTCAGGCTTTTCCAATTAACCTAATGTCTCTACAAGACATTAACTCCATAAGTATTTCGAAATATCACTCCATTTTTCTCCTATAAATGTCAGTATTATTTATCTTTGCTTTTTAGTTGTTGCTTTTAACTTCTCATTTGGGCTTTAGTCAGACAGCTCAACATGGTACTAGAATGATGTTTTTGTGTTTAGCCCTCTAACTGTAACGGCCTTCTTATATATATATATATATATCTATTGAATATTTTTGGTGATATCTCTAAGAAAGATATAATATATATATGCATATTAAAATATGTCGAAGAAACTAGGACAATAACTAGGACAAAAGTACATAAATCCATACAAGGAGAATTTTTACATTAAAATCAAGAATATAATTTAGTATATTAGTTCTATGAAATTTGGCGAAAACCCTGGCCGGTCAGAGGTTTAAAAAAGTGTTGCACAACTAAAGTAGCTAGTAAATGAATGATTTTGAAAAATGCATCCATCATTCATATTGTATATGTTTTGAAAGCAATCCAGTGCATCATTAAGAGGAACTTGCTTGTACCATTACACTTCTTCTATTTTAGATTGTCGGTAAAACATTCTACTATTTAAGATCTTAAAGAATTCAGTGTCTCATGCATCATGTAGCATCTGATTTGAATTTGATTGTTTTTGATTTTGGTAAAGTACTCTAGGCTTAGGGGAAGTAAGATTTTTAGGAGGATTTTCTTTAAGAACCTGCCATCAGAAGAGTCATCATACTTCTGTGTGCTTGAAAATAGCATGTTTTGCAACGTTTTAGTTGTTTACGAGCTTTTGTGAGTGCAAAGCTCTGTTTTTGAGTTTTTTTTAACTGAGAATAGGTATCTTGATATAGGGTTTGTCCATGTAATTGAAAATTTTCAGTTATTGAACTGATTTAAATATAGTTATTGGTATTTATTTCAGCTGAAATATCAATTATTTAGCAATTGGACTTTTTTGATTAAGCAGTAGCTTCTGTAATGCATTGAGTTTTTCCTGCATTCATTTTTGCTACATTCTAGTCAATCAAAGTATGCACCAAATATTCTTGTTTATGTGGAACGTTTTAGCGGTTTATATGCTGAATATGCATGTACATTAAATTAATTTCTAGTTGTTCCTTTTCATGTGGCTGCAAATTATAAGATTTAACCAAGTACTTCTATGTTACAATAATGAAAAATGCATTACATGCTGGTTTCAGTTTTGTCAACTGGCAAAAGAATTTATTGTAAGTTATTTGCAAAAAAATTATTGTACATGCAAGAACAAAAGAGATGCGTAGTGTGATTTTTGTGTGGAGAACGCTAGGCAGCTGAAACTTTAAATTATAAAAATCAAATTTACATTTATACTGTATCAAAATAAGCTAATTAGATTAGTGATATTCATGTTCCATGATAAAATCAAAATAATAGTGCATCTTAAAACTTAAGGCAGCTCCTTTGTTAATATGTATAATAGGAATATGAATTAAAAAAATTGCTTTTGATGCAATTTTTTTATAGGTAGAGTTGAAATATATAAAAACAAGCATGGTTGTTAGTAGGTTATTTAATACAGTTGTCTTTCAGAAGTCACACAGATGATGAAATTTGCATCTATTTTTAGAAACATAGGTGAATTTGAGTAGCTGAAAATCATTGCAGATGCAGTTAGTTAGCAGTTTTGAAATATGGTACAGCTAATCGTGTTTAACTGTCTGGACATATGAGAACTAGGCAGTCACTGAAGGTACTAGCATTTTAATGGGTTTTAGGGGGCTCATTTAAAAGCTGGGCCAAAGTGTTTATGGCATAATTTTTTATGATATTTGTGTTTCTGTGGCTGAAAAAAGATGGACGGGATATAATGAACGTTAATGTACCATCTGTCATACTGAAGCAGGACAGTCAACTCAAAGGTGCCTTTTTTTTAATTTGCTGTTAATAATTCGGTAATTTCTCAAATGTGAGAAGTATTCAAAACAGATCAAAAATTGTTTAGAGATTTGGGCCTGGTTAACCAAGGTTACTTCTCCTTTTGAATTTAGGTATATTACTGCAAGAATGAAGTAGAATTGATCAACAAACTTCACAACTGTTACTTCGATCAGCAAACTTCACAACTGTTACTTCAGTGATTGCAATGCCCCTTGTTGAAACAATATATGCCAGTACTGTGTGTGGAAGCCTTCAGATGAAGCTGAATATCAAATGTTTTTGTTCTATTCTTTGCACAATCCAGAATGGCAAGGTTAAGGTAGTGTTGTCAACATCTCTGTTGGGATGCTTCTGATTCGTGCAGTGCCCTGTTAGGTTTGAGTGAGGATTTTTCCTGGATTCAGATGTCTAAGGGTCTGGAGAGAATATTCGTACATGGAATCAGGCCTATATCATCATTGAGATTCATGCATTCAGAGATGTCAACATCAAGTTGTCAGCTGGAATTTTAATGAGATGTAACACCCAGGTTCATATCTTTAGAAAGTTTTCTTCGACTTCTACGTATAACATAGCTGAAGTTCTACAATAAGTGCTGCACCATTTAGTTACGATTTTCTCTTAGTGGATGATAATGTTTCACCGTCAAATTAGCACCATTAGTGATTGTAGTGTAAAAGCAGTATGTAGTGACTGCATTGTTCCACTAACCATGATTCCGTTGAAAGTCTTTTGAGATGCTTCTGGATATTCTGTCTCTGTAAGTTTTCCTTCTCCAGCCCGTCTCGGACAATTGGAAACTGCCCTAATAGAGGAAGGGCCGTTGTAGTGGTCGATCACCCTATGAAAGCATGGACAATTGCTGAAAAGCTTATTTGAAGGTCATACCTGATTAATGCAAGTTTTGTTTGTTTTTAGCTTTAGGCATAAGTTTGTTAATGACTCAAATGTAATGTCATTATGTAATTTACAAAAATTAAATATTATTTTCATCTTTGTACTTAATGCTTGTTTTTTATATGCATAAACACATTTACAAAATGTGCAATTTAGAATTAATCAAAGCTTTTTTATCTTTGTTGATATCATGGTCGCATGCTTAAGTTTTGAAAACCAATTTAATTTCCCCTAATTTAAAGGATTGCATGATCAGTTTGTGGAAACATTAATAATACTAGATATAAATGTAAATGAAAATGCAGTTTTGTGAAAAGTGAAATTAAAAACCATTAACTCCTTACAAACTGAGCCTTTTACTCTTGAAGCTTCCTATCCTGCCTGTGAATTTCCGGTTGGAGAACTGAAAATAGGTAAGACCTTTTTTAAAACTTTTTATAGACCCACAAAATTCCATATGGTTTTTTTTTTTTTTTTTTCCTTCCTTCTGTGTGTTACTTTAGCTTAATATTTTACAGAGATATTGACATTGTTCCAAAACTGCAGGTCATAATTCATATATTTCTAGTTTTTGGTCTAGTTGTCTGCCTCATTATGCTGATTATAACTTACTATGCTGAAATGGTGAATGTATTCTTTCTTGATAGATACTTGTAACTTATTGTGCTGAAACAGTGAATGTATTCGGTTGATATATACTTTAACTGAAAAGTTGTGGGCAGTAAAATGTGCAAGCATAAAATATATTCTTATGTAAGTGTTGACATTATGCTCTCAATATTTTTTAAAGTTTTTGTGCATTTAGTTTTGTTGTGTTTATATTTTGTTTTGGCATCAAATTGATCATTTGTGTAAAGCTAAACTTTTCTTTTTTGGAAGGAAGGTAATTGTTAAGTGGATTGTAAATAGCATACACAAAGGATCAGTCAAAAGTTTGGGACAAAGAAAGATAAAAAAAAAAATGTGTGCAAAACAATGCTCTCTTTCTTCTTCCCCCCTTTTAAGTAAAGACCATAGTATTTATTTTTACAAGAAGAAAATGATCTTTAGACTGTATTATGTATTACTTGTGAAGCGCATAAATGTTGATCATTTTTCTCTGTTAATGATGATTATTCAGCAGCTGAGCAATTACAACCACTGAACACTGCTAAGTTTGACTTGTATTCAAGTCTTGGCAAATGGATTGGGTACATATGAGTTTTCTTATGTAATTGTGAATTCAGGCCAATTTTCCTCAAAAAGACTTACTTGTTTTGCCATTAACCGATAAAATATTTCATTGCAGAATCTTTATGCATAAAACAAGACTTTTTAATAAACAATATTAATATTTCATTCAGGATCCCCTGTTATTATTTATCTTTGTACAGGTGTTTTTTTGTGTCACTCACTTTCTCTTAATATGAACTTGCATGAGTTGTTTCCCCCCTTTATTTGCATTATTTCTCTTGTGCTGCTTTTACTTTCTCATTTTGGCATCATTCAGTCAGCCAGTTATGACAACCGTGGTAGTAAACTAACATTTTTGTCCTTAAAAAATAGTGTACAACCTAAGTAATATCAAGAAATGAATGATTTTGGAAAATACAGCCATCACTTATATTGTGTATGTATGAATGCTCTTTTGAAGTTATGTTTTGAAATCGATCTGTAATGAATGTAGTGCATCATTATGAATCCAAGACTTTTGCAAGGAAAATATACCATTACTCTCCTGTGTTACTTTGGTGATATGTTCTTTCATTTAAGATCTTCGAGAATTCAGTGTTATCCACATCATATAGCATCTGATTAAAATTTTGATTGTTTTAGATTATGGCAAAGCACTGTTAAAGTTTTTGTGAAGGATTTTCTTAAACCAGTTAGCATCAGACAAATTCTTAAACTTCTTTTTACTTAAAAATAGCATGTTTTGCAAGTTCTTACTTGTTTACCAGCTTTTTTAAATGCATATCTCAGTTTTTGGACTGAGAATTCATATCATATATAGTTTTAATGCAGGTAAATGAAAATTTTCAGTTGTTGGACTGATTTGAACATTTATTTCAACTGCAATATCAATTCTTTGGTAGCAACATATCTTTTAAAGTAAGCAGTGGCTTGTATTATGCATTTTTGATAATAATTTCAAGATAGTAGTGTGTCTGAAAGCTGCTCCTTTGTGAATATGTATATAGAAATGTAAGTTAAAAAAAAATTGCTTTTGATACACATTAAGCTGTAATAGATTTGGAAATGCACACTGGTCATCAAAAATAAGGGACACCGACAGAAATGAAACGTATGTTACTTAAAAATTATTAGTAGAAATTTGTACAAAAGCATTAGTTAACATAAATTACATTGTTTGGCTGTTGATTATTCCCAAAATATTGAAATCAAGTTTATGGAAATTAGAAAATGATAGAAACATTAAGTCACCTAATGTGGGAAAATATTTTCTTCAATATCATGTATGGTCACCTTGGATAGATAGCTTGATTTGACAGACTCGTGTCTTGATTTCAAAGACTTTCCCAAAGTGTTGATCAAGTCTTGTAGAATTGCACACCAATCTTCTAAAAGTGCACTTTTTAAGCCTTTAAACTGCAGTTGCGGAATCGGGATATTTCATGGACAAAGGAAGGCAATTTATGTATTCCTTCCCCTTTCCAAATCAAAACACGTCTAGAATCATTGTTCAAAGTATATCGTAAGAACTATATCGTTCAGAACTCGTAAACAATACTCTGGCTCTGTTGTCTTGGCTTCTTGAACATGATGGTGGCACTGGTTTAAATGGGCCCCTTTGGAAGCTGAAGTCAGTGGGACACAAAGCTTAGTATTCTCCCATACAGTTACATCTTATTAAGCCTCACTGCAGCAGTAAAAGTTGGAGTTCTCTGGCAGTCTTAAGCTCTAAAACCAAATCTCTCATAGTCACTTCACGGATTCTTCAGTCCAACAAAAACAGAAAATGATAGAAACATTAAGTCACAATTCTGATGCAATTGTTGCTCTTGGTCACCCTTGACCATGCTGTCTATTAATTGATTCAGTGCTTAAAAACTGGCTCTAAACTCTTGATGTAACACTTTGAGAGATATTCGAATCTTGTATGACCTCCATTTGTGTTTACTTTCCATTTATTCTACCAGTTATTTGCCACCTCTGACCTTCACTTAAATAATGCCTTTGAGCCGTAATTGCTGAATTCTGATCACTCTCAGAAACCACGTCACTGAATTTGCTTATTCGCTGAGGTGCAGTTTTGTGTTCAGTTGTATTTAATTAACATAAATAATTACAGCATTGGTCATAGTTGCAGCATTATTTTAGGGAGCATAAGCATACTTTTTCTCGTTATCCTTCAGTTTGATGAATGATGTATAAAAGCAAGCATGCTACTTAGCAGCAGTTGAAGGATATTTAAGTTCTTTTCATTAGAGCGAAAGGATTGAATGATCAAATTATGGAAACATAAGTAATACTAGGTATAAATTAAAATTGAAGTGCAGTTTTATGAAAAATGAAAATAAAAACTTTAAACTCTATATGAATTGAGCCTCTTGAAGCAGGTTTAGCAGTTGGGGTGCCAAAAATAAGTAAGCCTTTTTTTTACACTTTCCTAGACTCGGAAATTCCGCATGTCTGTTATTTTAACTTAGTATATTACAAAGATAGGGTCTTTGTAATATACTAAGTTACATGATACGTTCTGTTATTTTAACTTAGTATATTACAAAGATAGGGGATATTTACTTTTCAGCAAAACTGCATGGTGTAATGCAGGTATTTCTTAGTTCAGAGCTGTCTGTCTCATTTTTCTGATTATAACTTGCTGTGCTGAAATCAGTAATTGTATTCTTTGTATACATATAAACTTTAGGTGAGAAGTTGTGAGCAATAGAATGAGCAAGTATAAAATGTATTCTTATGTAGGTGTCATTATAAAGCCTTCAGTAATGGTGTCATTACCGTTCTCCCTTCAGTAATTTTCTGTGAAGTTTCCGTGCATTTTGTTTTAGTGTGTTTATGTTTGAAGTATAAAATTGGTCATTTGAGAGTAAAAGCAAAACTTCTTTTTTTGAAACAATAAATGTAAGTAAGGTGATTTGCACGCACACAGTCTCAGCCAAAAGTATTAGAAAAAAATATTTTGTATGAAATAAATACGGCTTGTGTTGGTTGTGTCAGCCTACGTTGAAAATTTACGACAAGTTATTAGTTGAGAAACATTTTCTCAAACTCGTGCAAAACCAAAGAAAGATGTAGTTTGCTATTTGTGTTAGTTACAGTAGGTAGCTAAGACTTCAAAATATAAAAACCAAATGTATTTCAAAACAAGCTAAATGGAAAGGTGATATTCATATTGTATGATAAAGTCAAATAATAATGTGTCCTAAAAAACCTGAGGCTGCTCCTTTGTAACAGAAAAGGTGGAGTTGGAAATATACAAAAGTAAGCATACAAGTTAGCAGCATTTGAAAGGTATTTAATAATTTTCCCTCATTAGAGCAAAAGGATTGAGTGATCAGTGCAAACATGGAGAATACTAGATGTAAGTTAAAAGGGAAATTCAGTTTTTTGAAAAGTGTAATCAGAAACTATGAACTTCTTATGAGTAAACAAAATGCAAAATACATATCCTAAATTTTTTAAGCCACAGCCAGTTTTAAAATATATAAGTAACATCTAGAAGATAATGTGATTATTAAATGAAAGCTAAAAAAAATCAAAAATCAGTAAAGGCAAAAGTGTGAAATTACACATGTAATGGGAGACAATTTTCCTGGATCATGGCCATGTAATAACTCACCACCTAAGTGACTATTGTATGACAGAGCTACTTTTAGCATTGATGTACTGGAATATCTGAATATAGAAACACATAAATGAGAGAAAGTGTGTCACTATAATCATTTTCCCATTGATTTCTTTCTGAGAGTTCTCACTTGCAGTGTGATACTGAGTAGTTGTTGTGAACTTGGCATATGTATACTTTGTCATAATATATTGCTTTCATTTCTATTTAACTTCCAGCATCTCCAGATCACATTCTCAGACAATGTTATTAGACAATTATTAATATAATTTTAGATGATGTACCTTTACAGTTCATGTTAGATATTTTCAATCATCTTAAAGAGAATGTTTTAAACAAGCAATTATGAGTTGAAAGGAGCGAGTTTATTATCTCATAACCTGTAGTTTGAAATTTGAAAGCATTCTGAAATTACCTATTTTAGAAAATGTTTGCTGCGCAAGTATAAAATACTTGCCTAGAATACATCTAAATAGTGAGATATACAGCAGGTATATTATGAATATACTTGCAGTACCTCACTTCTTGTAGAAGAGATTTTAATTACAAGAAGTAAGCATTATTGTAACAGCTGTGGAAGGAATATGTGACATTGTTGTGCCAAGA